TTATTTTTAAAAATAAGCAAATAAAATGTGTACCCTCTTAACAACTCCATACCTGTGTCAAATGGAGAGCTGTGGCCAAATTATTTATTAGATTTAAAGTATTTAATCTAGTGATTGAAGGGCACTATAAAATTAAATTTAAGCATAAGTTCAAGATCTCATTCTCAGGCTAATTCCCTGCTCAATCCATCTTCCCTATATGGGTGGGTGTTTCCCAATACTTTATTAGCTATAGTAGTCAATTAATATTAGGAAATTCTCGGCTAAGTTACCAAGAGTCTCCTCAAATTTATGTGAATTGGGTAGCCATATAAATTTGTTGAATGAATGAATGAATGAATGAATGAATTAATTAATTAATTAATTAATTAATTAATCAGGCACATAGATTGTAATGCAAAAATCCAGGTAATCATTATATGGCAGCAAAGGAATACCAAAAACTCTGTTGGCTGGCAAGAAGTAAGGTGCTGAGATCCTTTTCTTACCTCTGGCTCAGCATTCTGAACTCCTCCTTCGGGCAATGCAGAGACTTTTTGTGGATACACTACTTCATAATCATTAACATTCCCAGATTCCAGGATTATAGAGCTCCCTTTGTAAGGGCAGAGGGGAGAAGAAGAAGAAAAGTGTGCATTACTTTGAATGTTATTCTACCATCTTCACATTTACAACTCAGTTTGTTACTCAATTATCAGTGAAGAATGGAATCTTTTTCTAGTGGAAGAGACCACACAAACCCAGGTTTTCTTTGGATATGCAATTTGCTGAATGTGTTGGGCAGCTGGGAGACTGACTAGAGGCATTATTTGGGCAGTTGCAAAAAAAAGATTTTGGAGCATGAATAATCTGAAAAATAAATAAATATATCTCACCGAATGTGCAAGTTTGTGCACTGAGTGATAAGGATAACATGAGAAACTACAAATTACAATAGTGTGATCCACACAATTCAGTAAATCATACTACATTATTAACATTTTGCTTCCTGAACTTTTCTTGCCACAAACTCTGTCTCTCTCTCCTCCTCAGTCTTCTAATTCTTTTACTCACATTATTGGAAAACCTTTTCTTCACATTGAATATGATTTTCTTCTGAGGATATTAGGAGTTTTCTTTCTTAGGATCTATTATCTTGACAAAATTTAACAAATACCAAAAAACCATCTAAATAACTTTACAACAAATGTGAGTAAGAGAATTAGAAGACTGAAGCGAAGAGAGAGACAGAGTTTGTGGCAAGAAAAGTTCAGGAAGCAAAATGTTAATAATGTAGTATGATTTACTGAATTGTGTGAATCAGACTATTGTAATTTGTAGTTTCTCATGTTATCCTTATCACTCAGTGCACAAACTTGCACATTCGGTGAGATTTATTTATTTATTTTTCTGGTTATTCACACTCCAAAATCTTTCTTTTG